GGGTCTTGAATGTCTCCAGAGAAGGAGACTCCACACCCTCCCTGGGCAGCCTGTCCCAGGGCTCTGTCACCCTCACTGTAAAGAAGTTCCTTCTCAAGTTTAAGCAGAACCTCCTGTGTTCCAGCTCACACCCATTGCTCCTTGTCCTATCGTTGGGCATCACTGAGAAGAGCCTGGCTCCATCCTCATGACATTCGCCCTTTACATATTTATAAACATTAATGAGGTCTCCCCTCAGTCTCCTCTTCTCCAAGCTAAAGAGCCCCAGCTCCCTCAGCCTTTCCTCATAAGGGAGATGCTCCACTCCCTTCATCATCTTGGTGGCTCTGTGCTGGACTCTCTCCAGCAGTTCCCTGTCCTTCCTGAACTGTGGGGCCCAGAACTGGACACAATATTCCAGATGTGGCCTCACCAGGGCAGAGTAGAGGGGGAGGAGAACCTCTCTCGACCTACTAACCACCCCCCTTCTAATGCACCCCAGGATGCCATTGGCCTTCCTGGCCACAAGGGCACAGTGCTGGCTCATGGTCATCCTGCTGTCCACCAGCACGTTTCCTCTCCTCCTCCCCTACTTTTACTATCAACTTCCAGAACCAAGTACAAGCACATAACTGCAAAGGATGTGCAAACAGTATCACCTCAAACCAACTTCTCCACTGAAGTCAGAAACCATTTTTCACCTTAAGTAACTACTTCATCTGTACTTCTTACTTTTAGAAGATAATTCATAACATTTATCTGTAACTTACTGTGGAGACAAGAATTGGGCATGAATTGATAATATCAATTACCCACAGACTCTTGCTACTATTGAGTTAAAACTTTCAGGTGAAAGTCTGAAATACCTGATTACACAGCTCAGGCCCAATCACTTGAGAGTACACCTGTGCAGGATTATGCTTTACTATCTGATGAAGAAAATAGTAAACAAGGTAAGAACATTGAGATTTGTTTCTTTTCATGGTATTAGCAAAGCAATGTACCTTTTTGTACCCAAACCTCAAAACACACCCATCAAGCTTCCACTCAGAAAATAGTTTAAAAGTTTGCAATATAGAAGAATGTTACAAGACTCATTCAAAACAAGTACCTACTTTACAGTGAAATACTGAAAGACAGTGTTCCATCTGAAGTAACAATATCAGAAAAACATGTGGTACATCAATATTTTTGTGGGCAAAATTTTTTCAGATATAAAGGACTTGTCAATTCAGCAAAATAAAAGGATAAGTTATTTTACAAGGAATTTAGAAAAACAAACAAACAAAAACAATGGCAAAAACTAATTTAACAATTAGAAGGGTAGCTAATTATTGGGACAGGTTACCTGTTAACATCCACGTATTTGGTAATTTTAGATTAAGCAAGGACAATGCTCTAACCACAGACGACAGATGACTATTCTAGACATAGTGACCACATTCCTGAAGCAATATTTCCACATCTCAATAGCCCAGTGTCCTTGGGATGACAGACTTAGCAAAGCCTTGTCAGAAGGATTAGATGTATTATTTTTTCTTTTAACATTTTATTTTGTTTTAGTAATTTGAATTACACACTTTTGGATAAGAAATAAATAGTGTTGGTAAAACAGATATTGTGAAATCTAGCTTGATTAGTAATAAACCTAAGAATGTACCTGTCTCAAGTCAGCTCCTGGTTATTTTCTTACATTCTCCAAGATAAAGCCAAAAGAATTTATCTCCTTTAAGTCTTTGTCCGTCCATGATACGACACCATAAAACACACATGATTTTACATATTTCTGGAAGTACCAGACTTTTTTTAAGCAACAAAGCCTCTATTCAGATTTTTTCCTCCTCTGAAAGCTCTCCAAAAATAAAGAAACTTTTGAATAACCACTCTTCTTCTTCCCCCCTCTCCCTGCCCCCTTTTACACACGTAGTCAGACTGCTATACTGATCCCTGAAATGGCATGTAAGTCTAGCAGAACAGTATACAGGAATAAACCTGACCAAATGCTGAGGAAATTGCTTTCAGAAATTTGCAACTAGAAAACCCTGCTAACGATTTTCACAGGCCACTGCAAGTGCCCACGGATAGAGAAATGGATAAAGACACTATGTGGCAATATCATTCACTATTCTGATGTATAGGAAGCAATTAAAAAAAAGGTAGCTAATCAGCTAGGACTAATTATTACAGTTTTCAGAAGCATTCAGTTTGTTTTTTAAGATTTTCTTCAACCTACCACTTGCATAATTAAATTGCTTTGCAAGCTACATAATGCATACGCAACCACATGACAAAGTTACAAATGGGTACATTACTGTATAACAGGAATTAGCAATTAATGTTTTCAATAATTTCCATGGGCACTTGTATGACCAGTGGTGCTACATCTATCCAGGGACCAGTTATGAGCAGTGTTCCTCACGGGTGGACACTGAAGTTAGCAGTTTGTCTTGCAGAGCCAACAGTGAACCAACCACCTCCTTGGCTGCGTAAGCAAGAGCACCAGCAAGTCGAGAGAGGCGATTGCTCCCTCAGCACTTGTGAGAACATACCTGGAATATTATGATCAGTTTTGAGTACCCAAATACAACACATTCAGACAAATGGAAGAGAGTCCAGAGAAAGCTCATTGAAATAGCTAGGGTACAGAGCATGACACGTATATAAGATGAAGATAAACTCTTCTCAGAGGAGCACAGAAAAAAGACAAGAAACAATGGACTCAAGTTGCAGCATGAAAAATTTCAAGCATACATACAGGAAAATTTTTTAGAAGGAGAGTAATCAATCACTAAAACAGGCTAAGTTTCAAGTGTTGATAGAACTTCTTGTTTGTTTAAATCTTCCTCATTTATCAAATTACAAAATAAGTAAGCAAGATTAAGACCAGCAGCTTCTTAATGATTAAAAAAAAATGAGAAGTGGACTGGAACTAGTATCAGTTTGAACTGTATTACAAGTTACTCTGCTATTATGTTTAGAATCAGAATGCTAATTACTCCTATCATGATAAAACTGGCTGAAGTTTAATCCTGAAAAGGAAGATGTCTCACATGAAAGTACAAAAAGAAAGAGAACTAAGATTAGCAAAAGAACTAAAGACTGCAAGAACTAAAAATTACTATACATTCATACGCTGGTATTATTACAACTATTTAAAAAAAAAAGATAAAACGGAACAAAGCAAAAGCTGCACTATGTGTGTTTAGTTTGCAGGATTTTATTATGAGCAGGTTTTAAAGCTTCAGCTGTTTTTTAAAAAAATAATCATTTACATTAATTTCAATTTGCTGGATAAGAAAACCCTCCAGTTATTTCAAATAAAGGTACACAAACCAGGTTCTTTACAAGTACAATTACCTATGTAAACAGTTACAGCACCAAGACAGTGATAAGCCCAAATGTCCAGCGTTGTTTTTATCTACTGTGTTTACCACCAGAACTAAAAAGAACAACCGAAGCAGTTTATTTAACATCAAGCGTTCCTTATTCCATCAGTTTGATCACCTTGGTTTAATCAAGCATCTATAAGATTTTAGTTTTCAAACTGAATCCAAATTTGTTTTCCTAGCAAAACACACCCAGGGGTTTGGGTGAAAAAAATCAAATCAAAACCAACACCAAAGAAAGCAAATATGTGACTGCACAGTCAGTCATATGATTGGTCTTGCATTTTATACATTTTGCTCAAAAGTAAAGTGTCTCATATTTTAGTAGTATTTCAAATACCACCTACCAAGGTAGAAGGACTAAGAAGCAGAGATGTGAGCCTACTTAAATTTTTAAGTAATCTACCTAAAAATAACATTAATATTACTAGCTGTAAAGATTAATCAGTTTTCCTTGCTGGAAGAGTTCTATAAATTAGACTTTGGGATACAACAAAGTCAAGTAATTTATAGTACTTTTTTGAGAGCAGAAGTGCAAGTAAGAAAAGGACTCCAACTGCTTTATAAAAAAAAGAATATCTTCTTATGGTCTTCAGAAGTATTTTCACCCAAAATGTTCACTCAAAACAACCCAAAACCCAAATAAAATGACATAACGCTTAATGAATGAAGTGCTTCCAATCCATGAAAGTCATTACAACTCTACTAATCAAGCATTAAATTATTTCTTGCCTTCATGCAAGAGGGTCTTTTAGTTCCCATTACAATGTATATTTTATTATTGAAGAGAAAAAAAAAAATCATACTTTCACAAAGTTATACCCTTTAGAGACTTTTAAAAGATATTATATGACAAAACTCAGAATTTCAACACAAAGAAAGAAGATACAACTTTGAGGTAAAATTATTTCCAATAGACCAAAACACCATATGCAAAGCAGGAAGAAGAGTTGGAATGGGCAGAGTTAGCATGAAATAAATAACTTCAGAGTTTAAGAACTTCGCTTCACAGATATAGGAATACCACTCTGTTGAGCATATATATATATGTACAGGTTGGTTGCTGTGTATAACTGGAAAAAATGTCCTAGCTTGTTTAAAAAATAAAAACAAAATAAACAGGTTCACACTATATGTACAGGTTGGTTGCTGTGTATAACTGTCTGGAAAAAATGCCCTAGCTTGTTTAAAAAATAAAAACAAATAAAACAGGTTCACATTGCTGGAGAAGTATTTTCATTTGTTGATTTAGGACCAGAAACACTTGAGTGCTTAAAAAAACTGTTACACAAAGCAGAATCAGTGAGATTCATACACATTAAATAGGAAATTTTTTTTTTTCCCCTGTATCAACTCTCCAGTTAAGTCAGTGACACATCCTGGAACGAGTCTGCAAGCCCAGGATGGACTCCATCACATTTGTTTCCAGTCTGCTAGCGATAATTTAATAGATTCTACAAGATTACAAATACGTCTCCTAACGCGTTGTAAAGGTCTTGAAATGCTTCGTAAATCCTCACATCATACCATCAAATAAGTACAATATTAGCAGTGCCTCATAAGTAATATTTACCTGCTGGTTATCATATGCATAATGGACACTAGATGTTCAACCTACAGTCAGAGTGGAATTAAAATCCAAATCCTAGTAAATCCAAAGGCATCTGAATATAGTTACAATTCTAACAACTCATGAATGGGCAGTTTTATATGCTTAAGCCATCACTAGAAGCAATGAAACACTCGCAATTCAGGAAACAGAAGTATCAAAATAACAGGAATTAGTTGCATTTTTATTTGTAGACTTGGTTGTAATCTACCAAAAAAACCCCAAACCTGTGAAATTGATTGCCTGTATACAGTCTATTAGCTTCTCAAGTTCTCAGAAAAGAAACAAGGAGAAGTTTCAATCCCTCTCCAATCCCTGCAGTTCAAACATTCACCTGAAAAGAAAGGGCCCAAAGAGCACATAGCCTTGTCTGAAAAGCTCTTCTAGAAGGGAGAGCTGTGTTTTTGCCAAGGTACGTGGCTAAGCTTTGAAACAAACCATGCTGGTTCAACTGGACACTTCAGTACCATGCCATCCTTGTAGAACACCTAGGATTATGAGCTACGTCACTGCAGGGTTGATTAGCACCAACATATTTGGCACTGCAACATCAGAAACAACAGAGGTAGAATATATTAGTAATGAAAGAACAGTAGGAATCATCTTAGATAATTACGTCAGTGCCAAGGAGCACTGCACAGAAAAAACTGTTGGAGCACTATTCTCTTTTTCTCATGTTCTGCTACCATAAACATATTTTCTCCATAACTGACCTGGGGCATATTCAACTACTGCTCTCTTTAAGCAACATTCTTAGACTTAAGCTGCTGATCGCTGTAATAATTTCAAAAGTTTAACAACTCATTTGCAAAGCTTACCTGTATAAACAGTCCATATAGTCTGCTCCTTTGCTATACTCTTCCCAGTATCTGTGATACATAACCAGTACTTGTTCTTCAGCTTCCAGAACTCTCTGTGAAGGAAGACAGACACACATGGTTCTAAAATTAGTGTGAACATAGCATACACACATGGAAAGTTGTAACAGCATTATCATTTTGGAATAACAATCATAGATTCAAAATTAAGACCATATCTAAGCTTTTATCAGTCTAAAAATAACAATGTTGCATTGACCAGAAAACTTAACAGATCTTCATACTATGAAGCTGTGGTAAGGCAGCTGAAGTTGTTTTACTTTGCATTTGAAAAGAACAATCTCTGTAATATGTTATTTTATATTTGTCTTTATAGAGTACTTGCCTGAATAAGCATTCTGACATCATACTGGTGGGATAACTCGCATAACTATTCCCTCACTGACACAGATCAATTTGAAATTCATGCAGCCACATACACACTGGAGGAGTTGCCTAACTATAGCTGCTTAAAATCAGTATGCTTTACTGGTTAGACAAGCCCTTATACTTACCAAGAATCCTGGAATAAAATAAGTTTGATGAAGTACAGAAATGTGCAAACTTAAACAGGTCTTAAGTTCTGTAAATCTAGGTCCAAATCTTTTGGAATTTAAGCAAATTATCATCTAAGCTGTGGCTGGTGTAGTGAACTTCTCAAAATATATTCATACTTCAAGGGAGTAAGTTCAACAACTTCAACAAATTAGTATGATTTGTGGAGGATCTAGGAATTCAACTATAATTCTCTCTACAGTATATAATTTTAAACTCTGGCTCAAGCAGCAAAGAAGCCTATGCAAAAATAATATGAAAGAGGAAAGCTAGCAGACAAAACAGAACGGAGAGCGCTTCCCGCTGCAGCCCCCGTAGTATGAATTTTGCAAAGGTTTTCCAACACTATTTCAAAGACAAAAGGTGGAGAGCCAATTTTAAAAACGGATGTATGCTTTCCACTACTCCCCACAGTTTCTATTGTGCCACCACCTGCCTAATTATCTTAAGTGGGCTCATTCAGCTCACTAAATAAATGAGGAAGAACTTTTTTGGCCAAGCTCTCTCCCAGTTTAGTGAATTGATTTAGTCTACCAAAGTGTCAGAGGTAACCTCACAGCAGCCAGTGGAACTATTCATTAAGATATCCAGCCTATCTTGTCAAATACACAGGTATCTAAGCTCAAAAAAATAGCATCAAGCTATTTAGCAGTACTATCCAGCATTTGCAATTCTTTATTCCCTATACAGACTCTAAAGACAGGTGGACATGCTTTCAAAATCTACTTCTCTTTTTACTGCAATGGAAGGAGACACTGTTAATCCATCCTATATATTTAACATGATGAATCATGATTGCATTTAAATTAGGTGTCTTACCTGATGAGACAGAAGTTAATTCACAGCTATATAGGTATACAAATATTGTTACTTGTTACAATAAGTAATTTGTCATTCCTTCCTCCTCTCCCGGGCATTTTTGTTATTTTATTTCCCACATATTTCAGAAGTTATCTTTAGTACATACAATCAGTTTCTAAGACACTAGAGTAGACACTTTTATGCTGTAACAGAAGGCTAATGACAAACTATAGCACATTTGGAAAATGAAAACATTTTTGTTGGATTATAAGCATTCAAAAGAATAGAGCTTATTTTTTTAAGCCAACAATTATGGCTTATATAAAAGTTCTTTATTTTTTGTTGCATATAGACAGATATCTATTGATACCTGTCTCCACTATGTTTTGTGATATATGTGTTGCATGTACCAGACATATAGAGATATATATATATTGTGTCTCTGCAACGGTGTCATCTGTGATTTAGTCTTATAAAATCTGCCTATGTTCACACAGACAAAACAAACAAAACCCCTTCTTCTAGTAAAAAAAAAAAAAAGGTTACCTTGTGCAAATGGCGTACATGATTTTCCAAAAAAATTTTAGTCTCAGTATAAAGTCTCTCTCCAAGAGGTTCAGGATAGGCAACACACAAAGCATAAATGTCTCTGGACTCAGAGTCAAGGTTTGTATATGCTTACAGGGCAAAACCTTATCAACAAAATTAAGATTTTCAGAACCTTTTTTTTCTCACACACACGCATTTTAGATTTTATTTTTTTTAACAGTCAAGCACAAATGATAAAATGGATCATTTTCTGAAATTGGTGTAAGTCTTGATTTGTGAAGAATCTAAGATTTCAGTGTCAATAATAAATTTTAAGTAGTGGAAGGTGAGAGAATTTTAGAGCTAAGAGCCTGGAACTCCTGTAGCCTCACACTGACATGGCTTCTAACACTTATTTGCCATCTATGAATAACAAATGATTATCTCTAAGTGAAAAATCAGCTTTCATCCAAAATTCTTCCTCTGCATCTGCAGCCAAAGTGAAATTGAGACTTTTTGGATAACTGAAAGAAGCACTAATTAGGTTAAGAATGTGACCAGCCAAGTGTGGAGCAGAGCAAACATGAAGTGAAGCCCACTTCAAGTTTTCCTCCCCCAAGTCCAAACCTATTTACTGCCCCTGCATATACCTCCCAACTCCACAGGTAAAACAATTCTGGGACACTGGAAATTAAGTAATCACAATGCTGGTGTGGATCCAAAAACTCTGGTTTATTTTTAACCATTATTACCATTTCAGTAATCCTGTTTAGATCACAGCCACACAAAACAGTTCTACTTTCTCACTTAAATGGGCAGCAGCAAACAGTCAAACCCCTCAAGGTGGTTCTGTCATGAATTACCTTGCACAGCTACACCTTTGGTTTGTAAGGTTCATATAAAGTCCAAAAAAATGTCACTTGAAACTTTGTCAGGAAAACAGTTTATGATTAAGAACTTTGCTTTCAAATAACTCAAGCAAGGATTAATTCAAGCTTCAGGTGAACAACTGTGAGAAATAAACTAGTTCTGCAAAAACTATTTTAAAATGTCATTCTTATCCACTAAGTCTAGGCATTTCATAAAACCAGTGATGCAAGAAAAAGTGATTTAGTACAGTTTACTTTTTAAGGTAAGCTCTTTCATTAAGAGAAGACAAGAGACCTGCTTTCCTCTAGTCTACCCAAAAAAAGCACATTCTTGTGTAAAAGGAGGTATTGGTCTACAGAACACCGTCAAGATTTCATCACACTGTTTTTCCCATTTTTTTAAATAGAAGTACTACGTAAAACAGAGAAGGTACTGATGTAGGACAACTAAATGGAAAAAGCCTTTATTTGGCAAGTGGAATCTCAGAATCTAATCTTGAGTACAGCTATCTCACTGGTATCAGAATTCTCCTTGGAATGGCAAGAAGCATTAAATGGAAACGCTAACAAACAAAACAAGCAATATTCACTGCTTTTTAACAGTAGCCAGCATTACATCACAGCAATGTACAAAGTTATGATCAATAAAACATTGAAACAAACTATTCAATTAGCAGTGAGGAATGAAAAGTTTTCTTAAACAGATTGTAAAGAACAGTTGTTTTTTACATATTCCCCACTCCCCCAAACAAATTTTGTCAGTCTAAGGATGGTCTATAGTCAAATGGATCCTCAATATCACTCAGATCACAAGACTCACCACTATGTAAATAAGGTATTTCTGAGAAAGTAAATTCCAGAATTAGAAATCTTTGTAAGCTACTCATGAGCAGAGGGAACATGACTTTTCTCTTTAGATCCACAACTACACTATCTGAATCATCAAAACTGTTACAGATCTCTCCTACAAGAACTACTTACTTCGAAGTTAAAGGAAACAGGCAGTCTTCACCACAACAGTGCAAGAAAACAACAATGGCAGCTTATCTGATGAAAGCAGATCTAGCCTCCTAGATCTGCTCCTAGTGTCCTAGGCTTCAGTTAGCAGTCCAGATGACCACTACTGTTGTAAACAGGTTTCTTGGCTGTAAGAAACCTATTTAAGAACAAAAATAGCATCTGTACTCCTTCGTAAAAATTCACATCTTCCAAACATGCCTGTACTTATTCTAGAGACTAGTAAAATTTTCTTGCCAATGAAGAAAGATGAATCTACTAGTCCTCCTTGACATATGACACTCAGTTTAATTAACTAACAGCTTAATCACAGAAGCACCTCCACAGGCACCTCACTTGTTTTCTTGTATCAGCCAAATTATAAAAATCAACATCAAATTCTACTAAGTTTCTCTGGATTTCTACAAAAAAGAGCTATTGCTAGCCTCAAAAACACACTGGAGAGCAGCTTTGCTACAGAAAGTTCACATTCTTGCTCAATTTGTACTAGCTTATTCACCTAACTATATCTTTCAGTCCAGAATCCAAATTTAAGTGTAGTGCTCAAAATGTTGTGAATCTCAAGAAACCTCCAACCAAACAACAAACCCCAAAACAAAACCAAAACAACAAGAACAAAAAAACCACAATCCCTTTGGGGAGAGATGAATCATTAATCATCACTGGTATTTTACTCCATAAAATTAAAGCACATTTTTTCTGTGCTGCTGTCCTGATCAGGAAGAAGCCTTTACTGTTCAATAATTTCTTTTTAATGGTGAAAGCCATCTCTCCTTTCAGTTCAGCACACAGTTTTGCAGGGTGACAAAGGTCAAAGGAAGCTGAAGCCAAACTGCTACTTAGAGGCCTTTGCTCTGTGTTGAAAACAAGAACATCAAAAGCCTTTTGAGATTTAAGTGCTCCAGTAGTTGCTATTTGAGAGGCAATACTCAGCAATGGGAAATCGGAGTAACTCCAAACTAAGGAAACCAACATGAAAACACTGTATCCAAGGCCATAAAAGCTCACAAATATTGTCCTCAGGTTTAAAAACACACCTAGTTAAGACTATGTATTAACAGAAGATTTTTAGTAGATCTTCTCCAGAAGACTGAAGTAAAGCTTTTGGAAAATTTCTCTGATTGTTGGTCTTCCTCTGTAACAGGATCAAAACTCAGAGCGAGGACTCATAGTCAGAAAGAATCATGATTATATGAACTTTGTTTACCATTCCTTCTCTTTGGGTGGGTTCTTATGTTAAAGACACATGTTCAAGTGTCTGGCTCATCATAGGATCCTTGTAAAATGGGGGATTAGAGGAAGGAGAAATTTCAGAAAAATGGAAAAAAGCAGGTGGACCTATTGCATACTTTTAAAATAATTCTGTTTGCGCTAGGACTACCTTCCTCCGTGGGCAATGTTCATCCTATTTATTTGGTTGGTGGAAAACCCAAGACAACAACAGGAAGATCCTGACATTCTACCCGTGCAAAAAAGTTCTACTGCTAAAAGGTAGTTATCAAAGTACAGAGGAACTACCACTCTCTAATTAAACTTGATCAGCCTCTTAACTTGAAGAGCACTCCCTAGCCTACTGAACAGTTTGAAGCAAAGTCTTAGAAGTTATACAAAACTTTCATAATATCCAAATTACTGTAAATAATATCTCAGATAGGGACACCTAACTATCACTCATTTACCAGACAATGAAACAACTTCAGAAATATCTATTTCTGCAGAGAACCTGAAAGGAAATCTGAAGGTCAAAGGTGGCTCAAGATGACTCACAGTTTAAATAAAGTGACATACAGTCTTTCAAGCCATCTTTTCCAGAAGATTTTAACTCTTACACAGTTGTGGTTCCCAGCTCATTGCCATTCTAGCATTTCAAGTTTGAAATATAAGCTATATTTAAATATAAGCTACGTTTAACAGTAACATTAACATCAGAGTTACAAAGAACATACTACATTCAAGACAAACAAGTTCTGGGGAAGTAGTGAAGCAAAAATTACTTCTACAATTGGAACATGCACAGTACAAACCTCTCACCCCTACAACACACCATTTGATCTCAGCTGTCTCAAGCATCACAAGAGAAAGCAAAAACTTCCTAGAATACACGGCTGCAGACTGAAATCCTGATTCTTTGCTGTATCTTGTTTCCATACCATTGTTTTAACTATAGATAGACTACAAAGATCAGGTGGTACTACAATCAATTAAATAACCTGTATGTATTTCATTAACACATAGTTCAAATAGTTTATCACCTTTAGAGTTAATATGACATTTCCTTTAAAATCCCTGTAGATGTTCAGAAACAGATTACTTGAATTTAGCAGAACTAACAAAAGCTAACAAACAACAAGAAGATGTATTTTTTAAATGCCACTTCTTCCTAAAATGTATCATTAATACTTTAGTTTTGTTTGTATGTTTAAAACCTGGACTGATACACACCAGCTGTATACACCTATCAGTTTCACCAAGTTGCTGAATACTCAGCAAGCAGTTCCTGTTAAAACACAGAGTTTGGTTAAAGGTAGCAGAAATACTAATCAACATTTAAGCAGAAAGAGACAAGTCACACAAGTTCCTCAGGCCATTCAGCCATAGAGAATAAGCCAAAAGGCTCTGTGCCAAATTAGGCGCTAATAGTGCCACTTTCCAATGAACATAATTAAGAGATAAGAGTAAGGAAGGTCTTAAGAATCACATGCCAAATGATTCTTCCAAGACTGCTTCCCAAGTCTGCTATTCATAAGTGTTCCCTTTCTGATGTTAAACCAACTGGAGTAAATCCCAAAAGAAGATCAACCACAGACTTGTGCACAAGGCCTCCACATAAGAAGTTCTAAGTGAAACAGTGTGACAAGTGGAATCGATCCAACATCTCATTCAATTATTATTTTAGTTTTAAATCTATTTTAGGTTCCCTTGTTTAAATGTTCAGAGCTTTAAGCTACAGAAGTTAACCACTTGTGGAAGACCGAAATATGCAATTCTCAAAAACTCCTTAGAAAGAATGACTACAGCACAATTTGTCAGCACATAAGTGCACAACTAATTAATTCAAAAAGTCTGTAAATTTTGGAGTCATTTGAACCTGACTCCAAGACAAGGTGAAGAGTCATGCCCCCAGAAATCAATTACAAAGTTTTAAAATAAAAGAGCTCCTTAAAGACTATTGTACCATAGAACAGGGCTCCAGAAGGTCTATGAGCAACTACATTTTTCTGTTATGTATTTATACACATGCACACACTCAAAACACAAGCACATGGAAAAGCAATTCTGAGAAATGGTAACGTGTTCAGAAAGATAAGAGACTTTAGAGTCTAGCTCCTGTACACAGAATAAGAATCTTCTCAGGGCTTCTTTTTCCATCCAGAAGAATTAATAATTAAAATCAATAATCAATAATAAATCAATAAATATAAATATAAATCAAAAATAATCAAAATCAATAATAAATCAATAAATAAGTCTAAACCATTCTTCCCCCCTGTAATTAAACCAAACTCAGTCAAATTGCTGCAGAACAGCTACAAAGCCTCCTAAAATTCTCAAATTCTTCACCACACTCTAATGGCTACTGAATGCAGAGAGACAGGGCACAGTATAACTGGTTAGAATAGTTACACTTCTTTTAAAAGAAGTTCACTGAAACTTAAATCTTGTAAAAAAATTACAAATCTGTTTTACTTGTAAAATGCAAACGTTTCACTATAACAATATATGTACAGCTGTGACTTGAACAGCAGAACCATATGATCACAGCTAAGAAGAGTAATTATTTTTAAACACAGCTTAACTGTCAGGCATAGAGGCAAAAACAGTGAGGGAAAGGAAGAAGGTTTTTTTATGAACCCTTGCTATATACATGTCTAATATGGTAGTCATCAGTACACTTGGAAGTGCAAACAAAGGGAGATACCTTTAAAAAGCACAACCTCACCAGCACCCCCAAATTTAAAGATGTGCATTCTCTGTCTTAGGTGTTTCCCCTGCTACACACACACTTCAGCACACAACAAGAACTCATCATCAGAACAGGGGAAATTCCATGTGTGCACTTTGGTGAACATCGACAGCATAAGCGAAGTATTAAAGCTACTAAAAGTGAGTAAAATTCAGACTGCCTTACTTTTTATTACTGTGGTGATTTTCACACAGAATACTTCTCAAATATGCCAAACTGCCCATGCCTTTCAACATATCCACTGACCCACAGGCTTAGTAACTGATACAACCCTACAATGAGCTTCTGATCAAGACCACTGCCACAGTTACATAACGCAGGCCTACTCTGTGCTAAACACATCATACTAACACATTAAGTCAGGTTTTCACTTAAAGGATACGAGAAGCGATCATTCCACGTTGCTCTTTCCACGTAATCCAACATAACAACAGCTTTAATTGTTGTTAGAAGTTTGTTCCATGTTTCATCAAAGTCAACTACTCGTGGTTTCAAGGACATCGTGGGGCTTTAGTGTTAATCTGTAGAAGAATTAAACGTGTCAGACAACATTGTACAATCATTTAAATGAAAAAATACATTTCCTTTAGATTTTTCAACTGAAACTTTGCACGCTGTTGCACCACCATGATACAACAACACGGAGAACATCGACTCCCACTTCTCCACCCTCCAAAAATCAAGCTTATAAGCCTCTCTTTTTTAACATTATGGAACAGAACGTTGATGTTGTATGAACAGCCTATAACATAACAACAATTAATCTATCAACCTCGTGTCTTGTGAAGCTCATCACCTTACCAAACTGCCCAGTTAATAGTGGCACACAAAGAAACCAACTTCCCTGTAAATTTTCGTTAGTTCTTTTCTACAAAGACTGTTTCAGCTGTATCTGAGAGAATTTGGGGCAGGAACAAGCTGAACGTATTACCAGAGTATTTGAAATTACCCCTGTCAGTTTGTAGCCTATGTTCACCTCAAGCTTTCATGAGACAGTTTTGGTGTTACATTTAAAAAGCCACAAAACCCGAAAGCTTTGATCAGGATGACAAAAAGAAAACATCTAAACACAGAGCATTATGCAGAGCTTGTGCAGCTTATTGCACTGTGCAGCAGGACAAATACCAAATTCTTTCAAATAAGACACAGCTTGAAAATATAGAAGCTGTTTTAGTTTTAAACTAACCATTATCTCTTCCAGTATTTTTGTTAGTCAACTGGAAGAGATTTATTGAAAGAAAAATATTAAATTACTGAAATAAAACTCAGAAAAAAGGTAATTAAAAAAAAAAAAAAAAAAAGAGGTCCCCAGGGACACAAATGTGAAGGCCTCTTCTTTGTTTCTATTTGTCTCTGTCCTATGCACCTCATCTAGAAAGGGCCTGATGTGTGACATTCCATGCACAAAGCAACTCTAGTTCCTGCTCACAAACATCACATTGGAAGACTAAAACAAAAAGCAGAAAGAATACTTCTATTTCCATTTTAAATAGATGGACAAGTGATTCTTAACTTGTCTTCCCAAATTTTCAAGATCAGAGGGGAAACAAGAAAGGTAGTGAGAAACAGACTTTCAGCACAAAAGGCAAACCTCTATAAGGGAAAGAATCAAATGTCATGCTGAAAAACTATTTAGGAACTAGGTTACTACCATAACTGCTACTGGTTCTTAATCTTTCTCAGGCTAATTAGTTCTCTCAAACTGCAGGATAAGCTTCTCAGTTTAAGGAGACAAAAAATATAAAATAATCAGATGCAACTTTTATACTGCATGCATGCAAAATGCCACCCTGACTAACCGAGCTCCTCAACTGCTGTGAATTCAGGAACCGCAGAGGGTTGTTTTCCTCTACCTGCAACACAGCAGTTTCCATTTAAAATGTAATCAATGTATTACCCAACCCACATTTGCTTTGATTTCAGAAAGAAACTGGTAGCAACTAAGTAATATTGAGGAAGTGGTATTATCCTAGGTTTAATGAACAGGAAACTTATTTAAAAAGAACTAAAACTCACTAAGTGACGCATAAATATTTCCAACTCAGTAGTTGAAGTTGTTATATTTGCAACATGGTTATTACCACTTTTGGAAATTAAAAAAATCTTCAATCCATGTATGTCAGGAGCAGTTTACTACACAGAAAATCAGTGAGAACTTACAAAACAAACAGATATCCATCAAAGAAGGTAAGCTGAAAAACACAAACCGATATATGTTTCAAAGAAACATGAACCTCACTAGAAGTAAAGAACAGTACAGCTCACTTCCAGGAGAAAAAAACCAAACAAACAGCAAACAAACAACCCCCCCCCCCCAAAAAAAAAAAACAACCTACAAAAAACCCAACAAACCAGTAGTCTTCTAAAAGCTCTAATATTATTCTTCTTCTGGAAAACACAAGAGTATTTTCAGCTGACTTCAAGAAAAAATAATCATGGTCCACAAAATTTTAAGAATCCTTCTAAGAAGTTACTGTGGCAATGAAGTTATACTTTGTCAAGTGTTACTTTATGGGTTGCTCTCTGTGAAACACACTTGGTACCTCCCAGGTAAAATAACCATTCCTTCACAGATGAGCAAAACTGAGGGGGGAAAGGACAGGTGAAGAAAAAAAGTCCTCCTCACAATATATCACACAGAAGTCAGTAACACTGCGTTTAGTATCACCAAAACCTAATAATATGTAAAGCACTATGCATCCTCATACTCATAAAGGTATTCCAGAGTTAAACAGTTTACGACAGAGCTGACTGTTATTTGGCATTCTCTTACAGCTTTCACATCAGTAGGAATTCAAACTTGTCTTATAGACATGTCAACAAATACAGCAGAACTTTTTCTGTAGGATGCTGGGGTTCTGGGGGTTTGTTGTGCTTCAGTGTCCGCAGTGCGCAAGCTCACCAGCTTAGGGTATTAAGTGTCTTGTACTGATACAAGTAACCTCCATGGCAAAAATTACAGCAGAGCAGAATATCTACCCTAGGGTTTATACTATTCAGCGGGTGGGAAACCAAACCTGTTTGACAAGCCCTAAGGTAAGCAGAAGTAAGGTAGAAACATATTTACACACGAGGATAATGAAAGGATGTTGCTTCCATCGCCTTATCCTTTAAAAGGCACCGCTGTCATGCGGAATGTACCTGTTCACACAAAACATTCCCCAAATCTCCAACCTATTTAACCATCTCGAGAAATCTCACTACAAGCCAGCGGAGGGGGAGCAGCCG